TCGCAGTTTCATTTCATTTCTTGACTGCCAGCTAAGTTGGCAGCTAACTGCGATTTGGCAGCGGTTTCAGATCAGCGTGGTGGATATTAACACGAATATCGTCCTTTAAATGTATAACACTTTAGATCAACCTAGGGTGTAAGAAGTAGATAGATATATAGAGATTCACCAATTCTCAAACAAGGCTAGTATGCCAAAATATCTGCTTAGTTGAGCTCTTTCGGTAAACAGTAGCTGACCTTTAGTTTTGCAGCTCCAGTGTAGGTGCAAGCGGAACGGAGACCACCCAAAATATCTTGCACTGTAGCATTTACATCACCTCTTGAAGAATTTGCGTTAAAAAAATGATGTATTCACATGGTAGTTCAGCCTACCTATAAGGTATCGTTATAGTTTTCCCTTCGCTTGATCTGTACTCTGCAACACTTCCCTGATGTTTGGTCATCGCAGTATCCGAACTCATTCCGTAGAAAAGTTTGAACTTCTAAAAAGAAAACCATTAGATGGGATAAGGAATTTGAGAGAATGCTGCGTACTCGTCCGTCTTTTTCGATAACTTCTCCACCACTTTGATCGTGCCCAGCGAAGAGACCTCCAATCATTACGAAGTCGGCTCCTAAAAAAAGGAGAGCATAGCATCAAATTGATAGAGTTCAAATGAAACCATTACTTTCCATTTAGATTTTTTTAAAACATTTTTTACCTCCACCAAAAGCTTTGGCAACATCACCGGGATTCGTGCAACCACCATCACTAATTACATGGCCGTTTAAGCCGTGTGCTGCATCAGCGCATTCCATAGTCTGGAAAAAGCATACAACTTATAGCATAGTCTCAGAGGTTCACTTAGTAACATCTGACAAATTCTTCGAGCTCTTTATCTTTTCTGAACGTTTCAATATTCGGCACACGAACTACGATTCAAGCTGAGTGAAAATGTCACGAAAATAGATTTCTGCCCTCTTCGGACTAACATGGATTAGTTGCAACAACGCGATTTTGTTATAACTAAAGGTGATTGCTGCTTCTCTCGCTAAATAGGACTTCTAGTTAGCGGCTGCAAACACGATAGCGGTTGCAGAAAAAACTGCTGAGAGTAAGGACTGAGCGGCCAAATGACAACCAGCCGATTTGAGCTATAAGCTTGCGAAAGCTTGGCTGAAGGCCGACCACAATTAATGTACTGAGTTCAATATTGCCTGAACGTTGTTTCAGCCATATAGCATAAGCTTTCAATTTACTTTGAAGTTGCACTTGGGAGAATGCCGCTGACCCATTATCGAAAATTGGTTAGAAAGAAACTTTGGTAGTGAACAGATTTTTCTTGTAAGTAGTTCTAGAAGGAAGACCTGTGGTTAAAGTGATTTGCAACCAATTTTCTAAGCTTTGACTGCAAATAAGCGACAAGATAATTTTGCGAGTCAATGATATATTATCATAGATCAACACTGATGAACCCTTATCCTGTATTACCACGTATGAGTCATTTTTGAGAGAACAAACGGTAATTATTTTTTACATTGGTTATGTTAATGACCCAGCGTATCAAGCAACCCCTTATTGGCTATATTCGGAACGCAAGGGATTGATTATTAGAAAATCCCGAGAATGGTGTGAAAGAAAACGAGAAATGGCCGCTGCGGACAATTGTTAAACATGAGTTATTCGAGAGGTTAAAGAACGGATCACGAAAATCCATAAGATATTTAAGACACCTTTTACTTCAAAAAAACGTCTTATAAGGCTAGATCATAGTGAACGATGACTAAGAACGTTAAGATCAAGCTCTAAGAAAGCACAGTAAAGTCTCAGATATTAGTGCTTAAAAAGTTTGCGGCTATTTAGTACAAACACAATACCGGAAGTTTTACTGGTTCGGAGAAAAGGAAACAAAACGCACAGCGCTTAACTGCGGGTATCCAACACCGGCCTTCTTTCGCGTAGTGCACACAGATCCTGGTCCAATGCCCACCTGAAAATGATGGTTAGAAATAAAACAGATAGATGGCAAGGCTACAAAAACGATGCAAGTTTTTGGCGAAAGGATGATGTGAAACTTCAACAAATTCCCTATCATTCTGACGTTAGGTAGACAACCAACAAGAAATTTTAAAAAACAAGCAAAATTCTATAAATGACGAGATTAAAAAGGAAGGAGATGTTACACCACAAACAGCTTAGTGGGGAACGCGAGCTAACCCTTAAAGATAAAGAGGATATATTTTCCATACCTTTACAATGTCAGCACCAGTGAGAAGCAATTCTTCGACAATTTCTCCAGTTACCACATTTCCCGCCAACACTGTATGCCTTAAAATGAATGCTGTGCTTAGTAAATTAACCAAAAGCGGAAAGCAGCGTACCTCGGGAATTCTTCACGAACTCTACGAATGAATTCAATAAAATGCTCAGAATATCCATTCGCGACATCGATGCAGATATAATCCAGTTCTGGTACGGCTGCGCAAATATCACGCAACTAAAATTTTTGAGTTTAAAAGATACAGTAGTACAAAAGCTCGTCAAATGAAGCAAGCGAGCAAGGAATCCCAAAGACTAAAGAGTGTCTACACATACGAAGCAGAAGGTCTGTAGGAATTATGCATTTACCAATATATGTATATATGTGGATATATATTTTTCAAGTACATATTTTTTCCTGACGATAAGGCCCAAATTTCGCATACCTACATTTCGATTACATCTCAGCTTTTTATTTGCGTTCATTATTTCTGCCCAGTCAAATTTTGCTGAAAATGAGATAAGGCCACTATCTCGCCACCAATTCAAAGGTCATGTAAACACATGGAGTTTCTGAGCACAAATATGATGAAAGGAGCTGTTGTTTATATTAATTGTAAGTAATCACAGTAAAATGACTGCAGGTTCAGTATTTGACGCCGAAGGAAGGGAATGTGTACACCTCGACATACGATCGCAACTTCCCGACATTTCTACTCTCTCTATAGGGTTGTAGGTAGTGTACATTAATTAATAATGGTTT